ATGGTGGCAGTGCATTGCGATCAAGTGTAATAATATCAACCGGTCAAATGTATATTCATTTCTCTAACGTATTGGTGGCACACGAAGCAAGATAATATAAAATAATATCTACTATATATATATACACGTGTATATATAATTTTTAAGAATATATTACGCGATATTATCAATATAAGAAACACTAGTATGACACATGAAGTTACATGGAACGAAAGATTCGTGAGATTCTGACCGATCTCATTTATCCAACTTTATTGGAAGGAATCATCGTTCAAACAAAGTTGAAAAAAAATTTGAATTATTCGTTTGGCTTAAATTATACCGAATGCATATGTTAATTAATATCTTTTTACGTTATATACACAATTATGGAATCTTGTAGTTTGTACTCTTTATATATATACATCGTGATATCTTGTCAATCGATTCACGATGATTTCGCCGATTGTTTTTCCTCTTTTTATATTTATATTCTTTGTACATTTTTAATCTTTTAACGCTGGAATGGTGACAGAATACGTATAATGATAAACACATAAGTAATTAATCGTATGAAAAAAAACATAAACGTACAAACAACGCATTTTTAAGATCATATTCAAATTGCAGAAGAATAATGGATAATAATATAATAAGTAAATTTTCTTTTCTCTTTTGACTTATTTTCGACTTATTAATACAACATACAACACAACAGAGAGATATATCTATAAAAAGGGGAAATGGAAATACAATGCAATCGTTCGTATTTTCTTTCTTTCTTTCTTTCTTTCTTTCTTCCATTTCTATTTAAATTCGATCTCGATAATATTAAAGCATGTTTAAGAATGAGAGAATTTAAAAAAAAAAAATATACATGGACCGCTTTATGAGAATAAAGATAAATAAACGATATAAGAGTAAAAAAATATTACATTCAAACCGAATACGAAGATCGATCGATCCGTATCTCATTATCAATACACATAGAAAACGACAAGAAGGCGCTAAAAAATGTTACGTTGACTTGCAATTTGCATTTACGCATAATTAGACAACAATCACTTACCCGTTTCATGACTAGCGTACGATCTCCTGATTCTTCTTCGTCGGGGGTTGGTGGAAGTGGGCGATTCGGTGCTCCGCCTGTAAATACAAAATAAAATGTAACTACACATGTGACTTTATAAATGATTTTAATTCTACTTTTTACAATGATATTTCAATTTTATAGAATAAAAATCTATAAGAAAATTTTGTTTTTATATCTTTCGAATAAGCAATTTCTATATCTATATCTATATATATTTATCTTATTATATTATATTATTATATTATTATTTTATTATATTTATACAAGATGGGGCTCATGAAGTGTTTATCATAAATTATTTTTTTCAAAATTATTACAGATATCGATGTGCTTTTTTTTCTTCAAATTAGATTACAACATTATTACTCATTTAAGCGTTCGAATTTTGTCTCATTTAAGGCAATCGTTATTCTCACTAATTTTTAAAAATAGAAAGGAGCGAGTTTCGAACGTATTGAATGAAACTTGATACCAGTCATTTCGACGGTTATATCGATGTAACATATCCATAGAATCTATATTTATCCTTGTAAACGCTTAAGTGTGCAATATTGTATCGTCCTCTTCAATTATAATATTCTATTTAATAGAAAATATATGAGAAAATTGAATAGAGAAAAAAATATTAAAAAATTAATTGTTCGATGTCCTACCTTTCGGCTTACCTTCGAGGTGCGAGTTCTGAGCATTGTGCGACGATGTCGACGATGGATCCGCGGATGGTCTGAAAGGAGAAAATTCGGGTCTGCAGCAACGGGAATAGAAATGATGGTCGTAATGGCGTACGAACGAATACGTTGTGTGCGTTGCGATGGCGATGCGAAGACGACGATTCGAAGCGACATGTTGAAGCGTAATGAAAGATGAAATCAAACAAAACAACATTAGTAAGATTAATTTAACTATTACCCATGAAATACATAAAAATATAGAGTATACAATGGTTCCTCGAATTTTGACTAATTAGTCTTAAAACATTAGAGCCTTGTTGAGAAGTGGCATCCCAATATGGTTTTGAACAGGAGTATCAATCTGTTTAACAATGACATGACAATGTAATTGAATATTTTAGAAAAATTTTCAAAATAAATAAATAAGTATATATGATAGACAAAAAAATAAATAACATGAACAAGACAGATATTTCTCTTTATAATACTAATTGAATAATAATAATTATTATTTAATTAATTATTATGAAATATATTTTTTACATATATATTATTTTTAAAAACATTCAATTACTGAACTCTTCTTTTATCATTATTATTAAATTTAAAATATTTTGTATGATATAAATGTTTTGGAAGAATAATATTAATTCAATTTATATTATTTTAAGTTGAAATTTAATTTGAAAGTTGAAACAGATTGTATTCGAAATTCAAAGACTTACTGTAACTATAAGTATTTTGAGTTTCTTATTTACTATTTCAAATTTCTCATATAATTTTTTCTAGTAAATAAATTAGTAAGTATTTAATTTACTTTCTATAAGTAAATTAAATAACAATTTAAATATATACTTGTTCTTAAATTATAGTATTACATTGTTGTTTTGTAAGTTAACCGAATAATGAATATAGATATAAACTATATCTTTTTTTATTAGAAATGAAAAAGTAATATTTATGATAAATGTTATTTAATGAATGAAGGATTAATCGTTAAACGTATATTTTATCCATTTTCACCAAATATATAATATAAATCTTCGACTTACAAAGGTTTTGGTGGATCACTGGCAAGTAATGTACCATCATTCCTCGCATTATTTCCTCCTGCATCTTCGAGGTCATCATCACTATCACTTTCAACGGATAAAGCCTGTAAAAAAAAAAAAAAGGAATATTTTTGAACTTATATAATGTAATTTATTCTTCACATAATAAAATTATCATAATAAATGTTATGCACTAAGACTAACTATTAACTGGAATTCAAAAAAAAAAAAAAAAAAAAAAGGGAAAATTAAAAAAAAAAAAAAAAAAAGGGAAAATTAAAAAAAAAAAAAAAAAAAAAAGGGAAAATTACATAAGAATATAATACTTACTTGATCGAGTATACTGGAAGACTGTGGCATTTGTTTATTGTTTTGGTCATTACTGCTCGCAGGCTGACCGGAATTCGACGTTGATGATGGAGCCTTATGCTGTCTGTTTGGCCTTGGCGGGGCCTCTGGGCCCTGTGACACACCAAGCTCGTTGAGTTGAGCGGCCAGCATGTCCAAGTCCTACCACCCACACACACACACGCACAACCCCGTTAGTCACTGTTCCGAAACACCTCCAACAATTGTTTAAAAGCCGCCACCAATCAGCCAGGCGAAGCAGATGACAGAGGTACAATATATATATATGAACTATTTCTATTCCTTTTGATTATGTTTTAAGATCAAAATTATTAAATTACTGAAAAATTGCTTCATTTTTTTTATATGATGGATTATTAAATGGACAAACATGTATAGACAATTATTAGATAAAATATATTTTCCAATGCAGTTAGATTGAACATGAACCAAAAGGACACTGACAAACACATTTATTTCCCTGTTAAATTAAATATGTTACATTTTTATTACATTAAAATGTGATGAATGAAATTTTAAGTTATTTAAAATATTATTTCTGAATTAACTTATACATATCCTGCTATACAATATGTATCGTGTTTTATACATTTAATGCAAACATGTATTGCGTTTAATGCATTTAAAGCAATATATAATCGATTTTCGTGAAAGCATACATTCAGGTAATTTGTCTGAAGCATTCAAAAATGTTGTATTATTCTTAAATATAATAAGAACTAAACATGATAGGAATAAATAATACACATTTAATAAAGATGAAATTTAGAAATCATTTGATTGTTTCTGTATAAAAATAAACCAAACAAATTATTTAGTAATACCAGAAAGAGTATATTATAGCCGCGTGTAACCTGTTTTATAAAATTGCACGTATAGATAATTAAAAATGTTACGCGTAGGGATATAAGAATACATGTCATTGTATTATGTATAAATGTAAAAAAATGAGAATGTAAGGAGAAAAATAAGTGTATGTGTTTCTTACCTCTGGTTTCCTTGGAGGCAGCTACGGTACGTGTGAACATGGAAAAAAAACAAAAACCGAATAATTTCAAATCTACGTGCAAGATGCGCGGGTATGTATTTCTGTATGTATATGTATGTGTGTGCACGCGTGTCACGTTTATAAATGCAATTAATTATACGCACGCTAGGAAATAATTATGCAATTATATTTGCATACACGCCAGCGACTCAATATAGCAAAATAGAAGAAAACTCTGCGTGCTACTGATAAAATATGTTTATTTGTTTATAAAAATATAGTAAAAGAAAAATATAAAAATATATATATATATAGTGTGCTTGATTTAAATAGCAATAATTAAATATCTCGAAAAATATAGAAAATATGCAAATGCAATGCTTTTCACATTTTTTGAGAAATTTAACAATTGTCATTTAAACCAAATACACTATATATATATATATATATATATATATATATATTGAAAAATATATTATATACAAAATACACT